TGGATAATGCGCCGGCGGTCACGGTCAACCGTTGGGCGATCGGAGTGTGCGGTTTTTGGGGCCGACCTTTTCTAACCCGTCCTTCCTCGGGGGAAGGCACCATCGCTGTTTCCATTAATAGGGACATGTTGGTCGCTTGGGGGGGATATCTTACTGCCTTTACACTCCGTTCGCAGAGGACAGTACGACTTTATCCCCAGACCGCCTCGTAGCACGATTACTCGTAGTACGGGGTCTCGCTGCTCTTGGTTGGCTGCTCCGCAGCTTTAGGTCGGGTCCTCAGGCGAAAGCTTCCCGTGTTGTCGTATGCACCCACAGGAGTACCCTGACAAGGGATATAAATTTGGAAGGGGGACTTTTGATCTCCAGACAGAATCAAAAGCAGTTTTCAAATAAAAAAAACGATTAACGTTGGACGTCTGAAGGAGTGGCGCTGTTCAATAATTCGTCTCAAGGTAAAGATATAGTTGATGCATTCTCGACCAGGGTGAAACCCATCTTAATTCTCACGAATATGCGCAAAATAATTCGATGGATACCCGGCTGATACGACGGTGGTTTTCACATGAAGTTCTTGTACCCTTTTTGAAAACTTGGATGACGGTTGAGGAGCTCCATTCGGCCGGTATTCTGAGCCTAGTGAATCGAACCACCTCGTTTCCGAATCACTACTTATTCATTGTTTCCAGTGTTTGGAGCAGAGCTTGTACCTCTATCTACTGCTTTCCGTTCCAAAGTTCTTTACCCTCGAAAGATGCGCACATGATTCCCAACTTCACCGGCTTAATTTAGTCTAGTCCGTTGGGAGGTACCTCTATTGCCTTTAACGAACATCCTCTTAGTTACCTTTAGGCCTCAACTGTAAATATTTCCAGTCCGACCCAGCAGCCCAACACTGTTCTTGGTTGTTTTAACGTCCCTAGTTCGGTGGTTACCCGACTCCTGCAATGCTAGGTTGTGATTTCTCTCAGCTGGTCGGAGACGGTAATATTACTTCAACTCTATAGCTACTTCGGAGACGGATTTTTCTTCGTAAGACGTTTGCTCGTTTGCTCTCCTGGGATTCTTACCTTCTATTTTCACATTTCAAACCCGTACTCCGTGGTCGTGATTCCTGACGAAACCTCTGTCAAATAAGGAAGGTGTGTGTTGTTTTTAGCATTTATCCTTGGAAGTGCTGTTCGTCAGTTGATACTTCCGTTCTTGATGGTACTCACGAATGCCTTTACGACGATGATGAAGAAGTTTCTTCGCCTTTTTTTCGCGACATAAACGGACACTCCTAACGGTCCGACTGTATAGTTCCGTGTGGTAAAGAAAGTAGTGTTCAGGTGATGACAGTCATACCACCTTTCACACTAGCTGATCGCGTTGCCGGCAATTTGCGCAGCTGGGGGAGAGGTGGCTCAGTGGTTAGAGCGCTAATTTACTGACCGAAAGGTCCGTGGTTTGAACTCGACCTCTAGATCTAGACTTGTCTAGGCTTGAGTGACCTGGCAGTATCTCAGCTCTTGTGCTTTCTTCGAGTGGCATGGTAGCTACGCACCGAAAAGGTGTTACAGCTGAACGGTTATCACAGAGCAGCTGCAGTCATCCGTAGACTTCCTCGTTAAGTACCTTAAAGAGGTTGCTGCTAAGTTCGACTGGTTAGACTTCAGATGATGAAGCCTAGTGGTCAATGAGAATTATCTCTCTAATATTATTTAGGTACTACCATTAGAACTGCCCTGGCTTTCAGGTTCTTGGCTTTGTGGTTCTCATGTTGATGAAAGTTTTGTGTGTGCCTAGATCCATATCTATGTTGGACATGTTCGTGGTTTTCACTTCAGACCGGTCTGAATAGACTATTCACGTATACTGAGATTAGCCTTCAAGCAGTATCCGAGTCACGAACATATGCTCCAGACAACTACCTAGTCAACCAAGCTTGCGTCACAGATGCAGTGGGCCTGTGCTGACAAGCCGAGGAACGTCATATAGCTGTTTCTTCCTATTTGCGATTCCCCATCAAGTTTACAGTGCTTCTTAGAATAGCTGTGGATCCTTTATTGAAAGTACAAAAATCTTTCTATAATTTGCGAAAAACCTGGTCAACAGATGTAACAGCCATTACCGTTTATAACTAAGTCCCATCTACCCGACATGCAGCTTACCTGTTAATTAGGTACTAACTCACACTAAAGTTTCCACTGTTGCTGGTGTTGGACCTTGATTGCATTGTGCTCGCTCTGCTTGCGATTTTTCCTGAGGTGATATTGCGGCCTCTAATCGCTGAGGCGGTTCAAATTTTTTTACATCCTTTTCAGATCATGACTGACATCAAGGATCGAATAATTGATACAATCGACCTTACTGATGAAGTAGCCGGATCTGTCCGTATTGACCGCAAGTTGGCGTCGCGGGTCATATCGATGTTTGAAGAAGGATTTACGGTTCCCTTCATCGCACGATATCGGAAGGAGGTCACAGGCGGAATGGAACCTGCTACTCTGCACCGACTCAAGGAGAAGATAAACAGTTGCAAGTGAGCCACCATCGTATCGCCACTGACTTCCATAACTGTTCCCCACAGGATGTTAATAGAAAAGATTGACAAGTCCTTTCAGTACTTTTCAAAACAGGGTCTGCTGACGGAAGATTTGTCCAGACAGTTGAAACAGTGCAAGTCGACTGAGGAAGTGAAACTTCTGGTACGTTTGGATCCATCAGCGCAATCGTAACTTTTTCAGACAGAGCCACTTAAACCAAAGGGTCCTCGTACTCTGTCTGCGCGGGCAAAAGCAGTCAATTTGGAACCAGTGGCCATGGAAATTTTGAACTCTTCACATCCTGTCGATCTGTTTCGAAGAGCTCCTCCAGAAGCAATCAGTAAGTTTATCAGGTTAATCAGCTTTGATGTTCATTTCCACTTCCACGACCGTTCTTGTACATGCCTATAGTCCCTTCATCTTGCTTCATGTGGGAACCGGACTTGTCATGTGGTAGGAGTGGTCTTACATCCAAGGTCTAACCGGACTTCGATAGACTTTCTTCATTACTCGTGAATAATCTGATTTTTCAGTTCAGCGTGTCGTTTCTGATACACAGGATCTGGTAGTTGTCGAACTGCGAAGTGTAAATTTTACCCAGTATCAAGTAGGCATTCAAAGTGTGGTGGGAAAGTTCAACGTCCTCGAACGTCACTCTTTGAGGCTCAACAGTGGGCGTTGAGAGATTGGTCACCAGTTTTACACTGATCATCGTATGCTTTACCGCTTACGTTTTGTGACAGCAGATCCCCTAGTGATAATCTCTACGAGGGTGAAAAACCTCGCAGTATTGATCTTTTCGGAATCCGACCACATCCTTCTTATCTCATCGTGATTCATATTCCCATCGGCATCACAACCCTGCCACTGACTTGTCCCTCCGTATGATTGTTAAACGATCTTTTAATGCGTATAGCACTTTAATCGGATTCTGTCAGTAGTTTTGCAGCCGTTAGTGTACAAGGAGCATTTCCGTAACCTTTTCTCATGTACGAAAGTGAATGCTTGTAGTCTTTTAATTAAAGTTCTCTCTGATCAAACTAAGTCACAATCAAACAGTTATCCCACGTATTCTTTGTCTGTCTACTTCAGAGGCTTTTGGTTCTTCACTACACGAAGCTGTTTGTCACGTGATTGCAGACGTATTTGCCAAGGATCTTGAACTGGTACGGCATGCAGAGATGTTGTAAGCTTCTGTGTCTGATGTATCTCGTTTCAGTTTGTGCATCACGCGCGTGCCATTTCTTTATTACTGTGAACCAATAGTAATCATTGATGCGTGGGAGACATACCCAGTAATTCATCACTCTCATAGAGGGCCCACCGTTCTCCATGTGGATTACCCCTGGATAAATCTCAAAAGCCTCTTCGCCCGCATGTTTTTTTTCGCAAGGATGACTGTGCTCTATTCCCGTGGTAGTACTTGGTGAGTTTTTCGCCCCTTGGCTGGGGCACACGTGGTCCTCCTTGCACATGAGTGGAATTCCTGCAGGATGTGGTATGCAAAGCGATCCCACGAACGTTTATTCTTTCACTCCCTAACCGAACTGTTTGACTAGAACTTGCGTGTAATTATGTGTTGGATTTACATCTCCATGGAGCTGCGGAAGTTGCTGGGTCGACCCCGTTAATAGTGCCGTATTCCGACATAACGCTCAGTTGTGTTTGTTTCAGTGATTGTGTGACAGTCGAGCCCCAGTAATGTACTGTCGTTATTGATGGGCAGTTTCTCTCGAAAATTTCCCCATGTCCTGGTTCGCTACTTGATTAGGTACAGTAGTCCCCACCAATCTGCTGAAATGCAATGCATATCTCAAGAGATTCTACGAAACGGAGAATTTTTCACCATGGGATACCCTTCAGCGTGTAAGAAACTTCCCAAAAAACAACTTTGAAGTGTTTTTCAATCTCCAAGTCGGTCTCGGCTTTTGATCGCAGTTAAGTGGAAAACTATCGCGTTTGATCCACTACTGTCCCAGGAAAACTGCAAGCAATCAGCTGAGCGAAATGGAATCAACTCGGCAAGCTCAGCAAGGTCATTTTGCTACGGAGTTGTGGATTCCATCAGTGTCGCGTGAACGCAAAAATTCCGTCGTTGACTGCGACGACAAAATCAAGGGGATATGTTCGTTTAGCTTCCAGTTTGTCGGTCCACTGAATGGGCGAGTTGCACACCGCATTGGTCTTTCTATTTACTGTATGGAGAGTACTTTCATCAATTTGCTCCTGTAATATGCACATTTTGGGTCGTGTCTGCCTGCTCGGTTCGGAATATGATTTTCGGTAAAAGGAAGATAAGGTTCTCTCCCGCATTGCATTTCCGGTTTGGGGGATCCGTCATGTGTACGACGTTCTTCTTCGTGAAAATCGCATTTCTGCCTGCTACGATAACACGTGCGTTGCGCAACATTCATTGATCTTGCACTCATTCTCGTGCTCAGTAGTACGAACGGTAGTTCTGGTTGATCCCCCTAGGGGTGTTCTTCAATCACACATCCAATATTAAGGCTGCCTAGAATCCCAGTACATCTAATACTTCAGACGTCGCCGTATTTTCCCGTCATAAGTGTGCGTCAATGTTGGTTGATATTGCGAAAGATTTGCGGAGTCTGCTACTTCCGAAAAAAAACTCATTAGGTTATCCAGCGGCAAGTTGTGAAAATTTATGCATTACTATAGGTAGTATCTAGAATTATGACCAAGCAGTAGAAAGTTGTTTTGCAATGACAACCCCTGTGGGTTTTTGTTCATACCTAACTGCGCAACATCCCCTAGCAGATAATTCAGCAAGTGCTCAGGATGGACGCTGCTGAGAATGATCAGAGAACTTTCTATAGGGAATTCTCCGATGAGTATAGAGTCAAGACAAAAATAGTTGCATATGCACATTATGAGTCGGATTGAGCAATTGTACATTTAGCAATGTTGTGGAATGTAGGTAGCTCGGGTGCGCTGTTTGGTTGTTGGTCTGCTCGCCGAGCTTGGCAGTTGGATTGCAAACGTTTCATCACCAGTCGAGGTGACATCGTCAGTGCAGGGTTGAGTGGGTGGACGGTTCTGTATTTGTATTGTGTATTGTACATTTATACGGTGCTGATGGGTTGGGACCGGATCCAAGAATTGCGGTTGTCCTAACGGTCAGCAGTGGTGTCCCCAATACGGGTTTGCAGCTGCATGTATAGTTTTGCTTACCTGTACGAGAATGTAAAAAAATGTTCTCCCAAGGTGTCTTTCCTGTGGGATGGTAGTCTTCATTCTATCACATTATTTTGCAACTCACACTTATATAGCTCAAGATGGCCTGCAGCAGACGAACAATCTCTGACTGGAATACCTTCATTCTGAACAATTTCTTCCGGAGAGTATAGCTTATGCCTCTATGTGGATGTGGTCAAGTTTCCCACATCCTTTACACACCAAATCTACTCACGTAAATTGCGCCTATGAGGTGGTGTTATTGTTGAATGGAAACGCTGCGGTAAAGTAAGTGACCGCCTTCGCTTCATCATTCACCTAAGCTCTAGGAAACTCGTTGGATAGGAGAGGAACTTGCTGAACGGTATGTCGCTGATTCGAATTCCACCCTGGCATCTTGACTGCTCTTGTCCAGACATTCTGGCCGTATCCCATCCCTCCTGCTCCTGGCATAGCACCTATACACCGAAAGGATCTTATACTGAACGACAAATAATGTCGGATTACTCATCTCCTTCGTTTGCGGTTTTTCTTTGCGCACTTCGTGTTTACTTTGGCCTTTGGAAGACCGTTTCACTTTGTGGGCTCTCAAATACTTCACCCTTTAAAATATGACCACCAATAAGTTCGTAGTTCTTGGTGTCTTTCGAAATCCTACTTTCGTTGTCCACCACTGAATGGTGCTCAATTTCTCCACCATGTAGATGTATTCGTCATCCTCCTACAATGTACACTACTCGGAAACAATGTCGAGCAAAACAAGGAGGCAAGAAAAACAAGAACAAGGCTGGGAATCTGGAACTAATGGACGTGGACAGTGATGACTCGACGATGGACACGGAAGAAAACTCGAACGCGACGCAGCGGCAAAATTTCACAAAGGATGATCTCGTGACGTTTAAGAACTATCTGCAGTTTTCCCGAATTACGACCAAATTGCACGCCCACCAGGTAAGTAACGAACCCGGAGCATTTCCTGCGTAGTTGTACGCCTCTCCTTGTTGACTCAAAGGTTAGCTTGTTCCGATATAGAGGCTGACGATTGATTTTTAAATCGTTGGAGAACGAAACTCTTAAAATTCGTGTCACTGCGTCGTTGCTGATAACCCACCTAAAGGCAGTTGACATTGACAAGTTTCTCTCTAGCTATTAAAGCTCCGTGGTTTGTCTCGAAAGAATCGGTCTGGTGAGAACAGCCCCTATCTGTGCTTTACATGTACAGTGCCCACCTGTTGCTTCACTAGGCTGTTCAAACTCAATGCGGTTCATGTTCCCTTAGACCTCTACGATATGGCGCCAGATGAAGAGAGTAGCTAATGGTGGCGGACTTAGCTAGTTGAGCTCAACCCTGAGTCTAACACCGAATGCGAGTTTATCACACTTATCCCCACATTAATCGAGAGATTTTTGGTTCCTATCGAATTTTTTGCTAATCCTGATGTCCCCCTGCGATTATCATTCTTTCCCTTTGCAGGATGAAATCTGGATTTGAAACGAGAGTTTTGCTCATCTTGTTCTATCTTGAGAGCCCCTCAGGGTTCTTCAAATCATTAAAACCGCTTCCCTAGCCGATGGACACTGATGTGCCCAACTTCTCGTTTAGTCTAACTAAATAATTTGGTGGGTTTCACTAATTCCCTGTTATAGAGTCTGCGTATATTCCTGGAGGTGGAATCGCTTCCCTAGCCGATGGACACTGATGTGCTCAACTTCTCGTTTAGTTTAACTAAATAACTTGGTGGGTTTCACTAATTCCTTGTTATAGAGTCTGCGTATATTCCTGAAGGTGGAAGAACAATTAAAGTCCTTTTATGGTGAAACGCCTCAATCGCATTCTGTATATGCTTGATCAGGCTCGAGACAGCTCAGCGGTGATAGCCGGAAGGTCCGTGGTTCGAACCCAATCGTGGCTTTCCATCAGCTGTCTTCGACACTTTGGCAGTCTGATAGCATGTCAACCCGCATGCTTATCCCAAATATATGGCAGTTATGCACCGGAAAGGTTTCACGGCTGGAAATTCTTGATACACTCCGCGTTGGTAGAATTAGGCATTCGTAGAGTGTCCTCTGTGTTCCGGATTTTATAGGTTTGTCGTTTTGTGTGAAGGAAGCGTGAACTTTGAGTGAACAAAACTGTGGACCGATCGACAGCCTTATGTTAACTCAGCCACTGGATATCTGTGTATTTCATAACTTATGTGGATGACGGACAAGGACAATAAGTGATCGATCGTTCAGCTGCAACACTCGGTGCATAGCTGCCATGCTACTTGAAGAGAGCACGAGGGCTGGGATACTGCCAGGTTGCCCAAGCCTAGACAGGAGAAGTCGAGATGAAGAAGTCGGGTCCGAACCACGGACCTTCCGGTCAGTACATCCGCGCTCTTACCACTGAGGCATCTCGCCCCCCACCTCGAGGGATATACAACTGTTGTTATGATCAGACAACAGCTGAAGGTTTCAAATCAGATTCGTAGAGCTAACGTAACGTAAATTATTAGCTGTGTATACGGATCCAAAGATCACTGCAGTGTTTGTTCTTCAGTTCGGCTTCTAGTCTATACTTTTTCATTCGTGTTCAATCACAGGAAGTCGGCTGTTCGACTCCGCCCCAGAGACGTCTTTTCGTTCCCAAACCACAAGCTGTTTGTAAAGGAATTTGTTGAGAATATTTACGCGACAGCCGGAAACGTCGACGTACCACTCAGGCATTGTTTTAATAATGGTTACGGGGATCGATTGCTATTGTTTTTGTAACTGACCATCTTTTATTTCGTTTAGTGTACCCCGTCCGAAAATTCTCATCTAGGTAGATAGAAGGCACGGGGGTAAATGGCTTGGCTGATTGACTTTTGTGTTATGAACTGATTGCCGTAAACTGTTAGCAGGCAAAAGGTGCCCTACGGTGAAGTCTGCCAAACCACCTTCGAATAGAATGACATTGTGTTTATCGATATGATGTCAGAATTTCTTCCTCAGCATAATATTCTGTGCAACCAAGTGAATGCCATTCACTTAAGTGAAGCAATACCCGACCAGTAGTAACTCCCCAGTTTTGTGGCCCCGTGCATCAGGTACCGAAAGGTCATTTCCTGAATTGTACCCTATGTCCTGAATTCTGTAGTCGTTTTGGACCAGTGAAGAGTGACATGGTTGCCTTTGGAAACTTTTTTCGATGGCTTACCATGTCTCGTCACACTTACCAGTACTTTCTGCTAACAGTTTTACTTTTCGCACATGCCGTCTACAGATTTTAGCGATCAATCGTGCAGCCGATCGGGGTGTCATAACCGTTCGAATCGTGCTGCCACCTGTCGTTCAGATTCAATCTCGGGAGTTCATGGTCAGAAAGTATTTTCGCTCTATCCATCAGGGTAACATGGATTTGGTACATTCAGCCTTCTCCGATGCGTGGAAGCGGCTAATCGAGCCACATCTGATTCGAGGTATACGGTACGTATTCAAGTATTCGGCACAGTATTCGTTTTGTGAACAGGAGTTTGAAGATAAGCCCACGTACATTACCTACCTATCCGAAACATCATTCGGGAACACCCAGCATTCTTGTTACGTTGAGGCATTGCTGAGTCTAGGAGTCAGTTACAAGGCGAGCTGTAAATAAAAAAGTCCACGATTACCGGTCACACTAACACTCTCGAAAAGGATTTCGGATCTTCAATACCGCTAACATGCTTCAGTTTGTAGGCTTGTGATTTGTTCAAGAATATCTTGTAGTCCGCCCTGGGACACTCCTCACCCAGGTTGGTTTGAGTTTTGCCTCACTTTCTTTATGTTTTCAAACCTTAGACAGCGTTGGGCAGGCCATAAGTTGGCTTCAAACTTCCATTTGATTCAATCGTTTGAGCGCAAGTTAAACAAATGATGCGAGTTATGCTCGATTATGAGCTCACGATCATGTGCTGTCTCGTATTGTTTCTGATGAGTAGCATTCGGTCCTTTTCTTATCGTGCGGTGAGAGGAATTAGATCAAGGTCACGGGTAGAACTATTGCTTTACCTGTCTTTGGGCCTATGCTTGATTAACGGAAGAGCGAACGATGTTTTAACGAAATGGTCGCTATAGTGCATCAAAACCCTGGTTCTAATCCTTTTCTAATGAAAATTCAAACTTTTTTACGGACAATCTCTGCAAGGCTTGCTTCGGCTTCCTTGGACGCTGGTGTGTACTGGACAGACCATTTGCAACGGCGACCTATCGCTATCGGTGGCCTTCATGCTGTCAGTTTCCATCCAGATTGTCTGACTGAGTGTTGGAGGTGTGGGCACCTCGGACTTTTGTTACAGGCTAGCCTTAGGTGTCCCTTTCTGCCCCTCGTTCTTTCTTCTTTCCATTATAAGGCTTTATTCAAGTAGATTGACATGATTAGACGACAGTGAAGCCCCATTGTACTCATTTTGGTGTTGCTGTGGGTGCTACTGTCAACCCCGTGTTTCATTGTGGAACAAACCCTGTCGATGCTCTGTCATGTTCACAATACGACGTTTGACTAACGTGAAGTAGAATCCACCTGGTCACACCCTCATTGTCGCAAAAATGGTTAACGACGCGGTATATGCACTACATGAACGTGCGGTTGAATAAGCTGATATACAGGTCTCATCACACTCCATATAGCGCGCGAAAAAACCGATCGCTTTTCCATGGAACTTTCGGCTCTCTCTCCTAAACCGGCACTAATTATACTTATTGTTGTACTCAGTGACACTTTATGAGTCACTTTTGTATACTTGTAGTGTTGCACGTAACTGAAGTGTTCGAAATTCCGACTGAGCTACTCCGAGTTATAAGAGGGTCAGGCGGGACACGATTTCGATTTATGTCCTCATAACGCATGCATATCACACCATTATTAATACTCGATGGATCGATACCGAGTGAATCAGATATTAACTGTTTTATCTGAAGACTGCTACACAGTTTGTCGTTTTTAATCGCCCAACGAAGACGCTCATTGATCTACGGATACATGAAATGGCAAAGATATTATTGAACTGATCGTTAGCGGTGGCAAATGATTTTCTAGTTGACCGAGAGTGGGAACTTGTACACTGTCTACACTAATCACTGAAACAGATGAACAGGGTGATCAACTTGGAAATTACCCCTCCCTGAATGTCTGCATTAATTGAGGGCAACCGTTTCTCACACTGCCATTTGAAATGCTTTGGAATGAACTAAACTGAACTAACTTGAACTACCCTGCTAGACAATCCCATATGGACAAGAGTATGAAGATAGTTCCAACGGATGCTAAATGGACACTTATTCCGTAAATCCTGTCAACTATCGAATACTAGTCGAAAACCGTGAAGCAATTTTCAAGCTTCATTGACTGGGAACTCCTGACAGGCGAGTCGACTGATCGACGCAACCGGGGATTTCGTCCGAGGCGCTTGGAAAATCGATCATCCCGTTCAATTTCTGAGCGCTTTCGCTTGTTAAGATGTGATAGTTCAGGCGCGTTCGAACGGCGCTGTTGGACTAGTTCGAGCACCCTCATCACATTGTCATTATGTTCAATTTCTGAGCGCTTTCGCTTGTTAAGATGTGATAGTTCAGGCGCGTTCGACCAGCGCTGTTGGACTAGTTCGAGCACCCTCATCACACTTGTCATTATCATTGATAGCAATATACTGGTAACACACACCGGCTCTCACACAACCATGAGAGAAGAAAATCCCAGTAAGGAGTTTAAAGAAAATGGATTTAATGTAGGCTTAATGCAAAGAACTCCCTCCATCTTTAGGCAATACACTCGTGAGTGGTTCAGGATCCAACTCCCGGCATACTCCGGTAACATCTGCTGCTTATGAGCTCCAATGCGATCGAAACTCGAGTCCAGTGGTTCCCCACACAGGCGTGGGCCAGTCAAAACAATGGAATTGGAAGGGATCCGCTCACTAACCGATTTGAGTAGAACCACCACAAAATAACATTTACAAAGACACTACTGATTTCCTTGTCAATGACCGTTGCGCAAAGTTCACCGGCCAAGCGAGGCAGAGTCGCATGCATGTGTGACCAGAGGGATGTTTGCTGTTGTTTGGTGGCTTGATACTTGCTGGCGTGTTCAAATAAGACCCTGTTGGTGACGTCGACAATACATTTTAGTTGTGGCTTATTATGGCTCAACATAGTTTTGTTTATCACATCTTCCAGCTCCAAGTTGACGGCCCAGGCACAGGACACTTCCCTAGATGTGTTCTCGGAGAATCTGCGCCGCCGACTCATGACAGCACCTCTGCGTGCTCCAACCACCCCGGTCGGTGGTGTATCACACGGCGGTGATCCTGGTGATGGCGTGATCTCCTCCTCTTCTGCGGCCCCTGGAGATCGCCTACCGGTGGTTGGTTTAGACCCAGGTTGGCGACATGGTTGTAAATGGGCTGCATGCGATCCGCACGGGGATGTGATCAGCACCGGAATAGTCTGGCCACCAACAACTATAGACCCGGCAGGACAGCGTGGTGCTCGATGGACACATAGACAGGCAGATAACGGTCTGGCGAACCTGACTGCAACCATGCAGAGGAATAAGTGAGTACCATATATACTCAGTTGGCGTACAGCAACAAGGGGCTTCTGTTAAGATGATATCTCGCAAGTAAGCGCATTTTTTGGGAGGTTTGTTTTCTGGGTCTTTACTGAACATTTGCTTTGAGTGAAATTGTTCCCGCATCAGGTGAATTCCCCTTCTTCGGCCTTATTTTAACCCGACCTTGTGTGACATGTAAGGTGGTTTACTTTGTTAGGTTATACTCAGAGCAAAGCGGATGGTCACTGTATGAATGGAGAGTACGATTACCGCTCATAGCCACGAATAGGGATGTAATAGTTACAAGAAGGATCATTAGACAGCGAGAGAGTGCAGTGTTTCTTTTGTATCGTTGGTGGCCGTGTATTGGTTACGCTTGAACTGAGCCTGCCAGAAACGGGATAAGGAGAAAACAGAGAACTCGAAATACGGCCGCACTGTCATGACAGACATATAGAGCTTCTGTGTAAATATATAGGATGGCCAAATGACCAAATAGGGTCATTTGCTTGTTCGCTGTGTCCAACCAGTGGTGACGTTCCTGCCGTGAACAACTTCACACCCACACCGCTGGTCGCATGTTGCTAAGCCGTGTTTGGTAAGCTCTGCCAATGCACCTGCTATCCGGAACATGTGGTACCGACGGTGACCTTAGGGACGCACGTGTGTATTTCATCTCTGGGTGCCTCCTGATATCTCCCCCTTTTGGTGATATATCGTATGTTCTGGATCTGGGATTTACCTGCAATCGTTTTACTGGAATTCTTCGTCGCCCCGTTCTTCTCTTCAACGGAGATGGGTTGATGTCAATGTTCAATCCCATGAACGCGTTCTTCGGTTGCATCTCCAATGTTTCAAGGAGAATATCTAACGAAGGATTAGTTTTTCTTTCGTTTACATGGGGCCGAACGCAGTTCCGACTTTAACTGAAATGCCGAATCCACACCATACGGCCAACGGGTACTTCATAGACGACGTTTCCTCTTCGCGGCAATATCACTCCCGAACGGTTCGTTGAGTAGTCTCTGACAAGAACGGAGTCTTTCCCGCTAAATATACGTCCAGTGCGATGTTTATTGTTGAATTTTTCTGACTGATTTTCCTGTCCGGTCGCTGGGGTTTTTCCGAGCCGCAGTGCATCAAGCAATGTCTTCGTTTTCCTCCCAAACAGCTGGAGACTTCCCATTTGGCGTATTTGCCTATGGTGTCGTCCGGTATTTGGTTAGGAAAGCAGCAATTACATCGTCCGTCGGTCCTTTCGCTCGAGATTTCAACGGAGCTCGCTTAAAGGTTTCCAAAGATCTCTCAGCATGTCTATTTGATTGAGGGGAGTACGGCATGGATTTAGTGTACAGTCTCACTCAGATCGTCAGAAAGTATGCTCGAGTGCCTCTTACTCAGATCGTCAGAAAGTATGCTCGAGCGCCTCTCCCAAGACGAATCGGTTTCGTCTCCTGTGTTTTGTGACAGATGTCACTGAGTGGCATGTCCGAAAAGTCAAGCTTGTCAATCCAATCTGATCCTAACAAATCCAAGCCAGGGCGGTCGGACACATGACAGATGCCACATACAGTGATATCATCGAAAGTAATGGAACAGCTGATCTCATCAGAGAGTTTCAGTAAACCGCCGGATGCACTGCCTGCAACTTGTTTGGTTTTGGTCAATGCCGGGCTGCCAAGAATTTATTAAGTTCGTTTTGAGATGATGTTGATGTTTGATGCCGTATCCAGCTAGGGACGTGCCGTTAATATGCATTGATACATATATTCCCTTGTTGGCTTTTGGGTCTTGGTGAGTGGATAGAGCGACGCGGATCTTTGGAAACTTGGAATTAGAAATTCTGGTTCGAAAATGCGTCTTGGGTGGTTGCCTTTGCTTGTCGTGACACCGATCCTCCTTGCGTCCAGTGCGGGAACATCTGCTACGACTGTATCTTCTGAACGAGCAGAAGTTGACAAAGTGCCATGCATCATCTTTTCCAGCATACTGCGAATGGCTTCTTGTCACTATGATGAACAGTATGCCTCTGAATCGCACTTCCGGTACCATTTTCTTGTACCATGGCAGTATCATACTTCAGATTCATCCGGGCTTTGGCATTCAGTCCGTTGGGGCATAAGCCGACACGACAAACAGGCACCGCTTTTTATGCTGAGGCGTTGAGGTTGATGGAGCTAGATAACCATGTGGCGCACAGACGACTGTTCACTGGGATCCAATCTAGCAAAGCGCGTGCAGCTCTGGGGCGGAGTGCAACTCCCACGCCATATATTCCACGAGTCATCGCTTCTGGGTCACCGGACACACGGAGGGAGAAGTGTGAAAGAGCTGAGTTCATACTTGGCGTTCTGAGATGCAAAACCTAGCTCGGGTCTTGTATGCGTGTTTCGCATACACAGCATACATCGATTTTAAGGGAGTACAAAGTTTCAGCAATCATTGCCTGTTTGCCAATTTGACATAGAGTACGGACGTTAAAAGCTCCTATATAGAAAGGATCTCGTGGATTTAGAAAGGTGTTATTTTGTTTACTGTTAATAAGCAGCTAGGAGCATAAGGCCGTTCGGTCAGGCAACTGACAGTCAAAGGACCCGGTGACGTTTGCTTGTGTGGTGGGGCGGGGTTGGGGAGAGATATTGGTCGATACCGAACTGCGCGGGCAAATGATACCTCTCGGTTACCCGAGTCGAGCAAAGGGGTTAAGTTGAGGTACCCCACCTTTTGCGTGTGACTCAAAATTCTGACCCACAAGACAGTGGGAGGATGTAGGGTTTTTTGTGGATGCCTTTCCCTGAGCTGATGACTCAATAGTTTGACCTGCTCGGCTACGGCAGGTTGGTCTAACCCGAGGGCGCAGGGGTTAGGGGATTGCTGTCTCAACCCTGATGCGGTTGCACAAAACAGGTGCCTTTTGAGCAGCACCGGGCACTTTGGTCTTGAAGATTTCGACTGTATTGTATACTGCGCCGGTGGTTACGGTCAACCGTTGGGCGATCGGAGTGTGCGGTTTTTGGGGCCAACCCGTCCTTCCTCGGGGGAAGGCAGTATCGCTGTTTCCATAAATATGAACATGCTGGTCGCCTGGGGAGAATACCTTACTGCCTTCACACTCCGGTCGCAGAGAACAGTACGACTTTACCCCGAGGCCACATCGTAGCGCGATTACTCGTATTGGCAATGTTGTGGAATGTAGATAGCTCGGGTGCGCTGCTTCGTTGTTAGTCTGTTCGCCGAGCTTGGCAGTTGGATTGCAAACGTCAGTGCAGTGCATTGACGATGTCACCTCAATTGGTGGTGAAACGTTTGCAATCCAACTACCAAGCTTGGCAAAAAGACCAACAACCAAACGATTACTCACAGTACGGGGTCTCGTTGCTCTTGATCTGATTGCTCCCCTTTGGCCTTCCTGGCGTGGTTGCACTTTGTGGAACGAAGTTCCAGCCAGTGTAGCCCGCGATATCATTGCAGCACTCAAGCCCGACCACCACGTCGAATACGAAGCTTTAGGTCGTATGGACCTGTCGCCACTATTTCAGCCCTCTGCAATCCAATAAGTTACGCCTCTGAAAAACCGTTGCAGCTGGAGTATGGCTCATCAATCCGTGGATGAGAACTTTACAAGGAAGCTCAATTTTCATGCAACTTCAGTGCCCCTTATTTTCATTTCTGAAGTTCTCCCCTTCAAATAAGGACGAGATCAACGATCAGAGTGCGGATTTACTGACCAGAAGGTTTGTGGTTCGAACCCGACCCCTACTTCTCGACTTCTCCTGTCTAGACTTGGACAAATGGGCAGTTTCCTAGCCCTCGTGCTTCCTTCAGGTGGAATGGAAACTTGGCACCGAAAGGGTGCTACAGCTGAACGATTCGATTTACAAAGAAGAACTTTCAAATAACTCGGCCTATTTATATGGCAGTAAAAGACCGGTGTTCAATAACGCTACCATCCATAATCACGATGTTGCCCATCTCATCAATCGTCGCGTTGGTATGTTGCTCGGCCTTCATAACATATTTTGTCTAGTTTTTGAGACGTTGTCAGAGCGCAAGTCCTTCAGGACTCAAGCGAGATGTGTAGTGTTTAAGAGTCGCACTGGCGGAATCTCTTCCTGCCTAAGCATATTCGGACTGTGGCAGCAGGAGCGTCGACTTTAGAATATGTCATACCTCTCTGGGCATTGTGAGCGTCTTTGTTGTCAACTCACCGAACCAATATCCTAGTAAGCTTGGGCAGTACCGCCACTGCTTGTCCCTGAAGACTACAATTGGTTCGGGCAGCACGTACTGAAGTTGCTCATTAACCGAAGTTGACTCATCTGCGAATCAAGCGAAACTCCAGTTTTTTTAGAACATTTCGGTTGCATATAGCGAAATACAACCACTTTCAACTTCTGCGTCAACGACAGACCCAGCTAGTTCTCAGCTGAATCTCTCGTTTATGATATTTTTCAACTGTTTGCGGTGCACAAAAGCCGCTCCATGTTTCAGTTGGTACTATATACTCACAAACAGGTCTCATCTCCGGTTCACACCTAATTTATCTGCAAACGAATTTTAATCACAACTGTCATCAGTCACTTCAGGTGCTGTTAAATCAACCAGTGTCATCGATTTTGCCGAGTATCTTCTCCAGAATTCGTGCCAGCTATGGTGATTTACCATTCAGTTTTGTATTCACGTTTCCTATCACTCAAATGCCTTTATTGGGGCAGTGTTTTTATCACTTCTTTCGTCAGCATCCAAACAATCGCCCTCGGAAATGGTCAGGGAAGTCGTCAGACTGGTAGGTGGCTTGCCGAGCTCATTACCATGGGACACTTTCGTCCCCTCTCAGTCCGTTTCGCAGTCGTCAGTGAGGCGGGCGCTTCTTGGTACAGTGCCTCAGAACTGGCCACCTCTGAACTACCCCATTTGGATGTTAGTCTGCGTGGTGCCGTATCAATAGCTCGTCGATTGCAAGATCCGCTCTCAGAACTGGTCAAGGTGGAACCGAAACACCTCGGCGTAGGGATGTATCAACACGACCTGCCGGAGAAACGTCTAGTTAGCGCAGTCAATGCACTGATGGAAGAGTGTATCAGTTTTGTTGGTGTGGATTTGAACGCTGCTCCGTTGCACATCCTTTCACGAATATCTGGATTGTCGGAGGCAAAGGCCAAGGCAATAGCCGAATATCGATCTCAGGTTGGAGCTTTCCGAACCCGAAATGAGTTACTTAAGGTAAATATTGTTTTGTTTGTGAAGTGAAACCGCTGCTGTACTGTCGATATGTTTTCATTAAATGTATACTCTACAATGTATCAAGGCTTTCATCCATTTTGTGACTGCCAAACCGTCCACTTTCAGAAACAGATGTTTTCGCAGTTTCAAACATGCTGCTTGCTTAGGAAGACATAAAAAAGCTCCTAGTCTTGCGATGAATGTCCAAAACCCTAAAATCGGATTGAGAATGCGTGAATTGTTGAATACAATTGGGGCTCAAAGGTTCTTGATCTTTATTTTTTTTCAAAACGTGTAGACAATTGGTGAATGCTGTTCATGAGGGTGACTAAACTAGAAAACAGCTGTGTGCTATGTTGGTCAATCGGTTTGTCGGAATTTCGGGGACGAACACGTTAACATCCTTGTTGTAGACCTATTCAGACCCGTTTTTTACGGTTTGGTCCTTCCTGGAGCTTCTTTCATCTCCAAACTTCAGTCGTTCACGGATGTGTGATAATAATGTGTTCAGTTTGAAGGGGATAGGGACCACTGAGTCTATTGGACGATAGTGTCGTTCTCAGGAGATACTTTCTAAGGAGACCTATCAGGAATTTGCATTCTGTGGAGGTTATCTTTTCTAAGAGAATAATGCCCACTAAAAACGCCTTAGTGTACTAATCAAAAGCAATTCAAATTGTCCGCCTTCTGTCCTGACACAGTTGCTCCACTTAGTCCACACCAAAGCTAGACTAACCAGAGTAATTGCACGAAAACAAGATTAATTCAAAATGGATTGCAGTAACTTTAACTTACTTAATCAGGTTTCTGAAGTAGATCTTTTCCCAAATGTGCTGGTTTTTTCACTTAACCGATACGTCAGGTCTTTCTTCCTTCCTTGTTGGGTCTCACATACCCGTTACAGTTAGTGCTAACGATGTCCTTGTCAGATTTGGTGTAAGCAAGCTAAACTTATTTAGTCCGTGATTGAATCCACGGGAGGCTTTTGCGATAGCTATTTCGCTGGTACTATGAAGCACTAAACCAATCATGGCCTGTCGAAGGGTTTTCAGCAACTTTATGAGTAGTGTATTACGTCTATACATGTATCTCGATATCTCGAGTATCGTACCAACTGAAACATGAGGCGGCCTGGTGCGGCACATTCAGTTGCTCAGTATCTCTATAAACGAGCAATTCAGACGGGATTTAGATGAGTCTCGTGAAAACCGAACGAGTATGCGGATGAGTGTATGTGGTGAACTTAAGTTTCATTTTGTCCTCTTACCCAAGTGTGAACCTGTTGGTCAGAATACTTGTAAGTGATTTCAGTGATAGCTGGAAAGCCCTTAGTTCATTGCTATCGTTTTTTACCAGTTTATCATTATCGCCACGGCCTAGTGTTTGATGACGCTCTCTTCAAGGGCTGACGCGGCGTGCAGTTGAGGCGCGCTGTGCCGGTGTGTTGAGTGTGTGTAGCACGCCAGCGCAGAAAATGGCAAAAGAAAGAGGTGCAGTCGAGTGGATTGGAACCCTGAGGCTCCACGGTTCTATCAGCTGCGGTTTTCGTAGCAAAAGATTAGCCCAATAGGTAGAAAGGTGAGAGGCGTGATCTTGAAGTAAGTCGATAAGTGCTGAGTAAGCTGATCGGGCTTGGGGCAATCTGCAATCATGAATTTACCCTGTTCCATATCAAAAAGCTTAGAGCGAGTCGTTGTAGCTGTGGCAGCTGCTCATCTGATATGTCGCCCTTGGGCTCAATCGATGTCGCAGGAAGTTCGACAGTAGGCGTTGGGCCAACTTCACATTCATCCGTAGGTAGAGGCACGACATCACGCGCGGTGGCCCCCGCCTCAGTCGACTGACTTGTCTGGGCAGACTCGAGCGTAGGAGGCAATAGTTTTTGCCCTAGTCCGAGAGCCAATGGGGACAAGGCATTCTCTGGACGCGGCGGAAAATGGACTCTCCCAGAAACCAAGCCGTTTACGCTCTAGGGATTGTCAACAGTAAGTCCAGGCGGCAGAAGCATCATAGCCATCCTGATGCTCTCCAGCGGCGAATAAGTTCGGCAGTCGAGCTTGAAAGAACAACACGCACAGAGCTACTGATATCCTAGCGAAGTAGCTAGTCTTCTGTCCATAAATGCCAACAACTTCATGGAAATCCATAGAGGTGCGAAATCGGAAGAAGTTCCCTTCATCAGAATCGAAATTGCTCTTACGAAAATACTGATCCGCGAAAAGGTGAAGGCAGGTAGTGAGCCGGTGAACGAACCAGTCAGGGGATTCAGTAAGCTTCGATCAACAGAATGGGCATCGCATCAAGTCCCGAAATTCGGATGCATTACGTGAGGACTATCAGGTCAAGTTTGATAGCCTGCGCACACTGAATCAAAATCTCGACCTATATGTGCAGAGGTGCTCTGCTGAATCATTTGTTGGTCACATGACACCTTCGCGTGTCAACAACTCCTTTAGTGTCTTGAAGTGTCTCTTCCATTCGATCCAATTTAATTTCTCATACAAGGGCGACTCAAGCACAACAGGCCGCGCGTCACATGACGATCATGTCCCAGGGTCAGCTGTGAAACGTGCTCACGCACGCGTAAGCTGTAGGGTACACATGCTATTCATATGACAGTATGTTGACCAGTCTCTCGTTAGCCAGCACCTTCAACATGAATCAACAACCCACAGCGCCCAAACTTCTTCGAACTCACTCTGGACCTGTTAACTTATTTCATATCTGTTCTTTAGGTCAAAGGTATTGGACCGACGACGTTTGCTCAGTGTGCTGGATTTGTGCGCATTCGTCCCCCTTATTCGACTGTGAAATTGGACGGATCAAAGTAAGTTTTTTTCATGAAGAATCTCGACCATATATGGCGCGGTTTCCTTGTTTCGTACCGGATTATTTGTAAGTCTACAACGTATGGTTGTACTTCGGGTGGGATACTGCCAAGTCTGGTGTCCGCTGTGATGCAGACTAACTAGAATATCTGTATCGGGTCAGAAGATGGACCATTTAAACGAAAGCAGCTTCAACAGAAATAGGGGGCGAGATGGCCCAAGTGGTTAGAGCGCGAATCTATTGACCGGAAGGTCCGTGGTTCGAACCCGACCTCTGCCTCTCGACTTCCCTTGTCCAGGCTTGGGCAACCTGGCAGTATCCCATCCCTCGTGCTTCCTTCGGGTGGCATGGCAGCTAGGCACCGGAAGGGTGTTACAGCTGAACGGGTTCAACAGAAATACTGTTATTTACTATTGCTAGATAATATGCGTTCGTTGGTTGTTAGCCTGTTTGCTGAGCTCGGCAGCAGCTTTGCGTTTCATCCGCATCATTCAAGGAGATATTGGCTTTTCACCGTTCGTGCATGTATCCTTCTTCCTTGCTCACAATCACGCATTAAGCCTAATGAACTACTTAGCAGTCCGCCGCACTTTTCTCACGTTTGACTGATTCCCCGAACGGTATAATCTCCATACTGAACACTTTTCTTAGTTTTAGATTATTGTTTTGCTGTTTCTGGTTCATTGTGATGTGATGTGACTGGTTGTCTCGTTTTGTTCATCAACCGTTTCTGGCGCATTCTTGAAATCCGTTCACCCTCCCCGTTCCTCCCCATTGATGGAATGTTGGAAGTTTGTTGAGGCTTGTTCCCTAACTCTGCTCCCCGATGTTCCTCTATTTGTTTCTTGTTTGGATTGCTATACTACCTCCCATTAAACAGTCCCTGATTTCCTTCAATCCCATTGGTTGGTTTCACCTTCAGTCTTTTACAAGCAAGCTCGTATTGCTCAGTTTCGATAAATCGCCTCCTTCCACATAGAATATCCCACAGCCGTTGCATTGAAGTTTACGCATAATCAGTTTTTTCTTTCCGTTTTGAGTGTGCTTCTGAGCTCGACATGCCTCAGTGGTTAAGGCGCGAACTTGTTGATTAGAAAGTCCGTAGTTCGAACCTAACCCTAGTATCTCGATTATTTCTGTCTAGGCTTGGGCAACCTGACAGTATCCCAGCCCTCGCGCCTTCATTGGGTGAAATGGCAGCTAGCCACCATAAGGATATTATAGCTGAGCGATTGTTACTATCATTAGTCTTTCGAGTGTGCTTTCTCTAATGTGTTGTCAGCTTTGTGGAACACCGTCACAACGTGTTTTTAGAAGCCCCGCAGTCCTTCCTTGATTTGTGGAACGACACTTCCACAGTGTTCCTGTTATTCGGTCGAAGTGGCCAACTCGCGGCTTCCAGAGATCTCCAAATGAATTTTCTTAGATGACCCTTACCATGGAAATATGCGCAAAGACGGTTCTTCTTTGAACTAGATGCCGCATTGCGTTGCAGTTCACTGTAGTATTGCTTCGTCGTGGCTACTTTGATGATAGTTTGATGGCTGTGACGGTTCAGAATTGTAATGAACGTCTCCAAGAGTGCAAGTTTGTTGTCCTCTGCTGGCCTCCCTTGTAAACTGGATATTGTTGAAGAAAGATATCGTTGACCAATGTGTTGTTTCCTTGCATCCATTCTTTACGGAAGGGACGGACAACGTGAGGAACTCATTTTTTGGGATTGACAACCGTCCCATTAAGGCGATTTCTAGGGCCATAAAATATATCCTCAATTTAGACTACTTCATTTTTCTCAAGTAGTCAGCGCTGAAAAACTTCATCGCACTAACTTAGCCAAGAGATCATTTCGCATTACACAATGCTCGCAACAGTGATTAGCGACTGTGTGGCACCGTGTTATATGGTAAAACTATCAACTATAGGAACGCGCGATCGGTCGCGCAATAGCCACCTGATGTGCCCCATTCAGGGCGAATTACGTCAATGACTGATTTACTCGGCCGACTAAACCTAATCCAGTTTCTGCGTTGTCGCTTCCGCGGTTAATTCCGATGTTGATGGTCTCAGCTGTACTTCTTTCAGTTCATACTGTTACCCAGTTACTTTGGTTACTTTGTCGTGAGTTCACAGACATATCCATCTTCGACAACCCCATTCAAGTTTTCAGCAACATTTATGTTGGCGGTCAGCCGATGTGAGCGGTGAACTCATATCGAATGGCACTAACATCCTGTCCTTATGTTTTTTTCGGTTTCTTTCAGTTTTTCTGCCCAATGTTTATTGAAACCTAGTATCCGTTGCTAATACCAATCAAGTCTTCCTGTGGCTTTTCCGGGTTGTTGACATTTGTTGTTGATCGTGCGGTAATGGGTAGTTGCCTCGTTCATTTTCCGGTGTTCGTGTCGGTCCCACCGTGCGTTCACATTTGCGGCTGAGCCACTTCAGACATCGACTCATTTTATTCACGAACCTCGAATTCCAATCGTTTTCTAAGCGGCGATAGGTAGCCGCATCATCGCCTGATGCTACTGCGTTTCGCCCATGTGATCTGCTTTGTTTGTGACAACCCTCATACGTTCGTCGTCAGCTGCAGGAGCGAAATGTCTTCGTGCTGTTCTGTTCTCTCTTCCATGCAGCAACCGCGTATATTGGTTAGAATAATCGCTGGATGTAGCTGTTTTTTTGTGTCATTGCCCCGCTGCTTCACTGATTTGGTGGTCTCATGATTTGTGGTATTTTTGAAATCGGAACTGGGTTCTGTCACAAGACACAACGCTTTTCTATAGTTTTTTGCCGAACATTTTGGTTTTGCACCTTTCAGTCGATGAAAACTTGTTTTCGAGACCCGTTCTTCACAACACTGCACCCAGCTGTTTAGTTGATCTGATTAACCAGGCCATGTTGTTTTCAAAAATGTTTCTTTTTGCTCAGTGGCAGTTCGCTCACATGAACTCATGCGGTCATGAATATTCGTTTGTGTGCGCTTTGCTGTTCAGTTGCCGTGGGAGTGATTTAGACGTGATCGATAGTTTACAGTTCGTAGCAGAATATTCCTCGTAGAGAAAATGTAGGAGTTGTCCTGTGGAGACATGTCGATAGGCGGGAATCTTCCAATCCCGAACTGTTTTGAGCATGGAATGTTCAGAACTGTGAGTATGTTGCGAAACATTGATAGTTTGGATGAGTTCGTTCGCTGTTGACCGAACTTGGCTTGTGATATTTTGTCGCCCCTGGTCAACTATTACTCCATTTCATATCGTCATGTTTCTGAAGTAATTGGTTAGTACAGTTTCGGGCTATCTCGTCGCGCGTCCATCCATTTTTGAATATGCGTTGCGTTTTGATCGTAGTTTGTCGTGTACTGACGTGGTTCTTCGAATGTTTGGGTAACATCAGTCAAGTAGTTCTTGAGCTCGGCCAGTGTTTTACAAGAAATGCGATTACAGATTTGGTAACTAACGATGTGATGTAAATTCCTAGCTGTTTGAGATCCGATCTCATAATTCGCTTGCATGAGACAGCTCAATATCTGATCAAGATGTGAGGACCTGTTTGAGCATGCGGATAGGTTGTGGATACATTGTCCATTGGCTTGTTGTCCTTTTATCCCGTCAAGTTACGTTTCCTCTCAAAATTCTCCACCCCATTCTTTTAACTCCGCGTCTTTCTGTTTTATTCCCATAGGGATGTGGACATGATCTCAATCTCCAGTGACGATGACCATTCAGACCTACCCGTCTGCCCGGGTTCCAAACGCAAGCGTCCTACTATCAGTACATCAAAACGGAAACAAAAACAACCGCGCACCGTTTCGGAGGTGGTTTCTTTCAATCCACTAGATCAGACTGCAGTTCACCCAGACACTTATGATATTGCTCGAAAGTATGTCCTATGTGTAGTATGTCTTCTCGGTAACCGTTTGTCGTGATCATCATCGTTCGATTGGTTTTGATTAATTGTCCCTTAGTGAACTGCTTCATATACGCGTCATCATCATCGACAGCATGACATCAGTTTTCAACACCAATGCTACTCTGCCGTACGACCATGATTTATTTGAAAGGTTTACTGCGAAGAAAATAAGGGTGCCGGCGAAGGGACTTAGTGTTAGCTTACTACAATCTTTTCTACAGCTCCAGACACTCATTCAAGCAATCTGGATGGAAACTAACAACAAGAACGCCACTGACATCGGTTGGCAGCCATATCTTGTAGTGTCTCCAACCAGGCACAGTGAGGATCACGCGGTTCCCATCCTGGAAAGCGAGTAGCACCGACAGCTCCCAAGCGTTTCGTGATCTGTTTCATACGCCTCTGCCAGGTCAAGGGTTGGCCACCTCTCTGCTTCCGCCACTCAACTGAGCATGCAAAACAGCACCGTCTTTGGCAAACGATGGTTCGGCACACGCAACACATGTCCTAACCAAGGCAGCTTCTGGTGCTGGACATATTCTTCAATGGAAGTACCCGTTTCACAACCGAAAACGCACTTTCCAACTGTCTCATTACGGATTCGCCGACACCAACTCACACGAGCCATGGTTCTAAGTCAACGATTGTCGAACACCTGAAGACGTCTCAGTTCTGCTGCTCGAATAGGCCAAGTCTCACAGCCATACAACAAAACAGCCCGTACTGTAGCTTGATACACACGTCCCTTCAGATTCAAGGGTACACCAATCTGACGCCGTAGGGTCTCGAATTACCCTTCGACGTTTTCCTTTATTGGGTTAACATTTTGAGACAGTTGATGTAGTTTGATACCGATGTCAACAGCATGGCTTTTTTACGGATACGGTACTGCTTTTAGAATGATTTGACTTTGTATAAGGTGGCCACCCTGCTCTTCCATTCATATTCTCACAATAGGTACAAGTAGATTGTGTTTGGCAGCACTACATACCGAACCAACTTGGCCTCAACGGAACATTTCTGCCACCCTATCGGAATGCTAAAGACACCAATCTAAACAGAAATTTCGAATGGTTCGGAATAATCAGTCTGAATCGCAACAGTTTGCTGGCTAACAACTTACGTAGGGGTAGATTTCAAGTTGAACAGCTAGAGGTTTGGCAAGTGCCTGCTGACCTGCTTGACTGCAAAATAAAGATCTTCAACTGCCTGTACAAGGGGTGGAATATGCGTTTTCGAGAATAACTTCGAAGGGTTTTCAGCAACCTTGTGAGTAGTTTCCTATATGAAAACTTCACAATACTGTTTTGCGTAATTGTCCTGTTAGTGGCTTGGATACCATCATCTCGTGTGAGAGACAATGTGTGCGTTTGTGTGGGGTTCTTTCAAACACCAGTTCTGGAGGTATTCCTTGTACTAACGAGCTGTACAAGTGGTAATGTTTTTGTTTGGAATCAATCCTGTTCGAGAAGAGCTAACCAGAAGAGCTTATTCCAATCCACAGAGTGCCAAAGCCTAGAAAAGCACCGGGAAAAAAAGCTTTTTGATTCTGCTTGAATGACAAGTGCAAATTATCACCACAAGAGCTGACCTGTGTTAACATTTGCGTTGTCCAATCGGATTTATCCAAATTCTGCTTCTCAGCAATCCTGATATGTTTTCAAAATCATTGCACGAAGTTTAGGACGTGGATGCTTTTGAATCGAAGGTTGTGTTGATTGCTAACAACCTTTGCCATACCGCTACTGACTGGTCTACCTATCCCATCTGAAAGACATGACAATCTCGTAACCTGCTTCCCGCACGGTTTGTCCACGTCCGCATACAATACGCGTGTTGTCAGAAGCATAATGCTATCCTGTCAGGTTCACCAGTAACAAGACCTTATTGGACGTACAACTTTTTCGGATTCGTGTACAGGGCTTCCTTTTTTCCACTGCTCATGGTTAACAGGAACTTTTGTGTTCCCCAACTGTTCCAGCATCATCGACTCTCTTGGCTTTGAGCTTCCGGATGTGGGAACAGCCGCGCTCCGTCAGAAGGCCAATGCTCTTTTCAAGGCATCTGATCGTAAGTTCCAGTTAACTTGATCCTATTTATTCGGCTTTATTTGTACTACAGAGAATCTATTTCGAGTAACCTGAGGTTGCTTATCGAAGATTGTGGTCATGGCCGAAATGTGTGGCTTACCTATTCCTGTAATTTGTTCCGATGATTTAATCATCCGCATAAATTAGGCGGTGTGTTCAGATTTACTGTTCATGTGAATTTTTATTTTGCCTAACAAGGAAGAATTTATGCATGTAAAGAAATCTGTGTATATTCTTAATGCGCTACTCATAAGGTTGCTGAAAATTCGTCGACAGCCCACGACTAGTTTCGCCCTTCTTGGGGCTCATCAGGTAGGCGCAGTTCCCGAGTTTCCGTCAACCTCATGTACTACTTGAAACCGAATTGCACGAAATTAGCGAACTACACTCATTCGCAAACAAATTCCGTTTTGCGGGAGACTCACCTGGAGCCCAGCTGAATCTCCCGTTTGTGATGTTTCCAGGCAACTGAATGTGCTGCACCGGGCCGCCTCATGTTTCAGTCACTACGATATTCGAGATATCGCGGTACACGTATATTCGTAATGCACTACACATAAGGTTGACGGAAACTCGGGGACGTCGCTCTTATCTTCGAAAAATGTCATATCAGAACGTGAGCTATCGGGACACCGATGTCTAATCAACGTTATTTTCAAATTGCTCACCATGCCATTCTAGGTAGGCTCAACAGAACTTTTTGAAAGCAGAATAGTGAAAAAACATGCTGTGTTCTGTCCGGGTCGTGAATGCATTGATCACATGTTTGCGTTTTCAAACACGTGCACACCTACAAAAGGCCACCCCACTCGTTGTCGGTCGCCTGACGCATTTCTCGAATCCTTCTTCTCTAACAGCTGTAGGCACGTGAAAGCCCCTGGAGAGTATGCTCCCGATTTCGTCAGAATTCCCCTTCATGACCGACTCTATTCAGCTCCGTAATCGGAGAAAGAACTTCTCAGGGATAACCTTGAAGACTACGTATGCAGCAAATATCGCACTTCTTGGTACATATCGCATTCGCATACCAATCTACCCAAATAATGTCTTCGTGTCGTTTGGTATGCGGCTTACATCTTCACAAGTGTAAATTTTTTTCACCAGACTGAATAAGCCTACCACGAAAGCTTTTCATATCTTCAGAAACATTAAAGATTGGGGAAAATTTATTTGTCTGGCTAACTGCATCACGTCGGATGTGAACGTTGCTCACTGATATCCAGTCTGCCTTCCTTTAACTAACACAGCGTCCACAAAGCGGCGGTGTTTCGCGTTGTTTACCTTTGTCAAGCCTGATGAATATGTTTTGATTGAAAAAGATTATTGCTTGTGTATGATCATCACATGTCGTAGCACCATCAGATCAGTGATACTGAAGTCTGACGAATAGCCTTTACCAACAGTTCAGTTGCTTGTCCATCCGACCACCTGATGCGATTGCACTGCCAACGCTGGTTGTGTGATGGAATTCGTAAGCCAGTTGATCGATCGCCTCACCGTATCCTGTTTTCAGGAGCAGTTTTATTAGATACGCACTGTTTAGCTGTAACACCCCTTCGGCGCCTAGCTGCCACGCCACCTGAAGGAAGTGTGGGGGCTGGGATTCTACCACTGTAACGGTGGATACTACTGATTGGACAGGTGAGTAGTATGTTCTCTCGTTGGCCTCTCTTGGAAAGTGAGATCTATTACGGAACTTGGGGCGTCGCATTTGCTTGAATTTGAGCAACAGTCAGTGAATATCCTCCAACCCA